GGGGGGGGGGGGGGGGGGGGGGGAATTTGAAATGTATCACAACAGCAAAATTTGGCCAATATCGCTCAAAGTCAAGAAACAGTGTTTTCTCTCACTACTAGTTTAAAAAAGCTTTATTAATTTTGTCGGTGCTTCAAATTGGATCGGGCTCGGAAGTCGTATGGAAAAGTTTCCAGTCATTCAGGTGAATGGTCGACCACTATTTGGCCTTGTACAAAATGCACCTTTTATACAGACATCTTTCTCTCTAACAACTTACACGTATCTGATATGAACCAACTTGGGTCAGCTTTTCAGCCACACCTGCTACCGAATCGCGAAGGGGGTCAGGATAGTGTATACACTAACGACAAAAACAGACACTAAAGAGTGCATTGATTCTGTAAACGGCAAATAGGAAGCAGAGTTGTACTTTCACCCTTGCGATAAGGGGTAGAGAAGGTCACAGACTTGTCGTCCTTAAGTAGGACAATTTATGCGTCACCTTAATAATAATAATAGCTATATAGATAGCATTAATTACAGTGCGCAAGTCGATTACAAAAAATTTCAAAGAAAGGATACTTCCCTGCGGAACACATTCTTCCTGTTGGTGGGGATCTGAAAGGGAGGATCCGACACGAACTTAGAAGGAACGGTTCTTGAAAAAATTGCCTAGTTATGCACAGGGTCTACGGAATGGGTAGGCCTAAACTGTGACCTCCTTTCATTTCACTTATGATTTGTTTATGAGTCGTGGGCGAGGCTTATAGGTTTAGATGGATCACATGCTTTTTTCACTAGCAGCTGAAATCTTTATTATTACCGATTGGTCAGCCAAGATAAACACTGCGAGCATCCTAAGCAACATTATCATCGAAGGGACTAACAAATAACGACAGTTCCAGGGCTACGTCTGGGAGCTTGGGGAAGGGTCTTTTATAACAATGACAAAGCGTCGGGCAGTGAGAGATTTGCGTCTCCGTCTCAGACCGGTATTTTTTTGTTTTAAACTGATAGAATATGGTGGGCGCGGCCGTGTTGGACGAGCAACCGTTTTACACATTGCAATTATATATTTTAAAAAAGCAAGGAGGGAAAAGGAAAGTGTCCGTTTGTACAGGTGGCCGTTTTATATAGGAGGTCGTCATGGCAAGTTCAATTGTATTCTTGAGAGAACCTAAGACATAACTCAAAAAGCACAAGACCTTTAAGCTGTCAGGAGCGGGGCTGACGGCGTCTACATTTGTGGGTGAAGATATTTCGCTTTTAAAGGGAAGGCACGGGTCTTCAAAGTAGGATGTTTGGGTCAAAATATCGATTTTCAACTTTTTACATTTCTGGGTACGAACCGATAACCCCTGACCTCCATTTGAAATTATTTTAAAAAATCGTTTTTACAATCATTTCTTTTAGGGTACCTTCCTCAAAATAAGGCCCAATTTTTCATCAAATTGTCCCCAAAGTAGCCCATAATTAGACGGTGACGACAACAACGTGTCTCCGCGAGACCCTAACATGTTTAGTATTGTTGTAACTGCAAGCTTCCAAACTGTAAAACAATATAGATTGATGTGTTTCTGACAGTTTAGCTAAGATGCAGGACACATTACGCCCCATTTTGTAAATCTTAGTTTGTCTTTGACAAAATAGTGACCATGACGTCAATATTCAGTCAGAGATTGCCGCGAAGTATCTCGAGTATATAGTATGCATATATTCAAACACAAAAAAGAAAGAGGAGAGATACGGATGATTGTTGAACTTGTGACCTTACGATCATTCATGTTATTTTTACGTTTCGGTAATTAGCTGTGGATTGTTTTGTACATTCCAATAAAGCAGGGGAGATTACTCTCACTACTTCCTTTTCCCAACCGATCAGCTGTTTGGCCGTTGTCTGCTAAATTTTGTTCCCTCATCATGGCAAGTCAAATCAGATCTAGTACCCATTCAACAATGATAGACGTTTGATATGAAACGAAGGAGCACACCTAACCAAGACACTCGCCAACAACCCACTAAAGAGAGAGCAGGGGAGAGAGATATTTAGTGTTATCTCAGTATGTGTACCTATTTCCATATATTACTGACATGTTTACCTGTTGTTGAATGCTAAACTTAGGTGGTGGTTAATTTGGGGCAAAACTTTGGAAAGCACCTCTCTGGAGAGCTTTTAATTCAAGAAATCAAGAGGATCCCGAGATAAGCCAGCATTCGCCATGGTAGCTTGGCACAGGCATCTGGAATGCTATGGGGGCCGAACATCTTGGACGTTGGACTCGACAGATTCGCTGCATATCTACATACCATCTGATAAAAATCCTTCCTCAAATTAAACATTTTCATTGTTCTTCGGTGTCAATAGCGGGTAGGAAGTCCAAAGACACCACCAAACCAGGTCGAAGAACAATGAAAATGTTTAACTTGGGGAAGGATTTATAAATATGGTGGGATTTTTTATTGGTGAACACAGAATGTTGTGTACAAAATGGGGGCGGG